GCCTGGACGATTGTCCATGCACCCTGAAAGGGGTCGTCATTGAAAAGACAGATAAGGAGGGGGGCGTATACTCAACGATCATTCCTCCTCATCACCATGACGTATTCTAATTACGACAACTTCATATTTATTGCTGGAGTGTTGAATTCTATATGCTGATGTGTGGTGTGTGCGTTAACAAATTGAACCCAAAAATGAAAAAATTAATAGATGTCACCTTCTTACCAGCTCTAACCAAACGCTTACTCCTTCCAGGCTACTGTCCCTCTAGCATGACTCCCTATCTTCTGAATGGTCAACCGAAGGCCTGTGCGTCCAGTACCTGTCCGTATGGATTCCAATGTCGATATTCGTCCAAGAAAAAAAATTACTTTTGTTGTTCAAAGGTCGTGAAGAAATCTAGCCATCTTCGCAAAGGTTTGTATTCTAAAATGTTCTTTTCCTTCAACAATTCCAACAGTCGTTGTCGCTGAAGTCAGTCGGGGCGTGTCAAAGGCGCGTGGGAGGGGTTTCTTTCCTATTACTCATTAGACGCCTCATGACACAGCGATCGGTGGGAAACAGGTTGCCGCCGTCGCTGACACGCCCTGACTGACACAGAACTACACTTACAAAGCATGTAAAAACCTTACCAGCTTACAATCATCGCTGCAATCTTTTATGGAGAGCACGAAACATGGCGCGTTTGGCTACATAACAGTGCAAAAACTACTGTTAGATGAGTAATGCAGTGAAATTCAGACAGTGGATGCGAGCGTGGTTCAGTACTCTTGTATCCATCAACACAGGAACCTGTACACTGCGATCATAAGACAAGAGCATGTCCTAGCGGCTATCTTTGTTTGCCGCACACTACGACAAAGGTAAGGTCAACTTTTTCGGGACCTAGTTGGCGCTATGGGCAAAAATATCTCAAAGGTTCACGATGAAGGGAAACGCACATTGGGTTTGCCTTCAATTTCCGCTGACAGCCGCTAGCCAAGCGCCTGGCTTCTGGTGACATCCCAAGCTGGTTGTATCAGCACACGTTGTACTTTGGGGACTTCCAGCAAGGAGGTCGTGTTTATTCGATGAAGTTAGGGGATCGTATTTGCCCTTGAGAAGAGTGTTTTCCGTCGTTAATGTCCTTCGATTTTTCCTGTTTCAAGTGCACTATACACCTTCCCCCCTCCCCATCCAGCCCAGGGCACATCGTTGTTGGGAATCCCCAACAGGGGGGGGTCGTATTTGGTCGCCAGGAGAGGGGGGTCGTATTTGGGCTGAGAAAAATTTATTTTGATAGTTGATTTTTCTCGCTTCACGGACGTTGTAAAAGGGGATTCGTACTTGCTCGTTCTTGGGGAGGGGCGTACGGACTCGACCAAAATCCCCAGCCAATGATGTGCCCTGATCCAGCCGCTCCCCAATCAACACAGGGTACAGGGGAGGAGATTCCAGTATGTGACCAGGTGAAATTTTTTTTCCGAATGTCAATCTTTCCCGTCTGCGCTGTATGAATCCTACTAGTCGGCAGCACTCTCGCTAGGCCGCTAAATCCAAGGACAGTTCCAAGAGATGGTCGGTCGACTGTGAAAGAGGTGTCTGACTTGGCAAAAATTCGCCCGAACGGCAGAGCGTGCCCCTGCTCGTGAAACTGCACAGCCCAGTGATAAGTGCACAAACACAAAGCCTTTGAAAAACAATACGTTTTGAATAAGAGACCTTTTCAGACGCTCCAATGTTGTTCAGTTCCGTCGTCTCGCGACAATTTCCTCACTGCAGCTGTTGAAAGTACGTTTATAGGAAAATTTTTGGCGCAGTTTGCCTTGGAGGGGCATTTCGCTAGTTTGAAGTGATACTCAGCGAAAGCTAAGCTGGCCAGCTTGTGAAGACCTGCGAACGAAGCTTATAGGGTTTCGTAAGGTACAATGGTTCACAGCTCTCAGCAAGACAAAAAAGGAAACTGGCGAAGTAGCAAAGTGGCCCCTCCTACTCGTAAGAGCGAAGAGCGTTAACTTCGCTATCGGAGCATTTATATTATCTTAGATCATTTCATTCCCAATGAACTGTTTCAGTTGAATGCCCAAAATATATGGTACGTGTGATAGGGAACAGAAACGGGCGCAGAGCATCCTACTGTGGTAAGCCGTCTCGAATTTATTTACTTTTGTTCAAGTGTGGCTGCTGGTGGTTCAAATTCTAATTCGCTCTCTTTCACAAATTCTCATCGAATTTCAGCTCGTTCTTGCCCTCCTGGCCAGTCTGCTCAAAACGGTGTCTGTCAGTAAGGTGGCCATTCCTTCGACGACTTCGTTGAAGGACATATCGAATACTTATAGCGCCAAGCCAAAATTGTCTTTTCTTCGTTGTCTTTCACTTGTTACTGGATTGTTTCATAACAGTCTTCATCATTGACTGATGCTTGTAGATACTATTGTATCGAGCAGTTAGACTGAATTTGTGATTTTGTATTTTTTAACCTCACAGTGTCGCTTTACGAGCTCTATGCAGGTGCAGAAATTTAATAATACAATTCCTACGTGTTCAAGAGCCCTTAAGATGTATTTCCTAGTCATAGATGAAGAGCTGTTTGCGTTGTATTTGGTTTTCTTTAGTTCTTATATTTTGTTTACCCCATGAATTTTGTAAATCATACGATACAGTTACTTCACGTCAGTCACAATACTGCACGGATGGATAAGGGGAAATATCTGGAGCGTTAGGCATACATCAAAAATTATCTTTTCCCTTTAGTGGGTGGTCGTAACTGGTCGGAAATTTCTTTCGGTTTTCTGATTATGAACCTTTTGCTTTTCATGAGCCCTATATACACTCTAGTAGGCGGTACTGTGAAACTTCTGTTCCTGATGGTCTGTCGG